TCAGGACAGCCCTTTTGCTATGAACTGATGTGACGGACCATCCATTGCTTGCTTCATTTAATTACATGTTATTTGGGGCAATGTTGTATCACCCAACCCAAAGAGTTTAGGTATTGTATTTTTAAAAAGGAATCCTACTGGGTAAATACACATATCCCATGAAAATGTAATTCAGTATTTAGTCCACAAACCCAACAACCTGTTCAGCAGTTTCACACAACTGTTGGAAAGCAGTGGAGATGATTTAGTCCTCCACAGTTGCCGTGCTTTGGGATAAGGTCATCCAATTTTAATTTCGAAGGCCACCCCTGCAGGCAAGAACAGAGCCAGTGTAACCCAGTGACCTTAATTTACAGGGAACACTCAAGGGGTGATCCATTGGATCCTGGTCCTGATTCTTTCTCATCTGAACAGGGTCGAGATCAGAATGTTCAAGAATATCTTTTACTGCAAGATGGCACTTTTTTCCCCAACCCAAAAGGCATCTTGTAACTAGGTTAATCACATCCTCTGAATCTAAATAGGGTGGCTTAATCTATGGGTAGACCTCCTTGACGTTTGGTGGCCCTGCGTCATTGAGCAAAAACATGTCAACTTCTCCCTGTCCCATCCAAGCAATCTCTCCAAAAATAAAATTAGTAAAGATGGGCGCTGATCCAGAGTGTACATGGCATAACCAGACACCACGCCTCATTTTGAAAGCTCAGGACAGATAAAGAAGGAAATAAACAAAACTCCTCAAAGTTTCCTTACATTTTCTTAGCACATATAATCCCAACAGTTAATCTTGAAGTCCTGGAGAATATTTGGGATTTTGGCAGCAGGTGGATGCATGAATTGGTGATTTTCCTTTGAGGTAATTAACAGTACACAAATATGCAAGTAGAACATCTACATTTTAAGCTTCCGCTTTGTTTTACGCAAGCTAAATACATCTATATTCCAGGAATGAAGAATAAAAGAATGAGAGCAAAGTTATGTTGTATTTAAACATGCGTACAGAACAGAGTATCATACCTAGATGTCTTACATCAAAATGACTATAATTATATCTGAGCCATAATTAAGTTTTTTTTTTTGGGGGGGGGGAATAGCTGCAATGAATATTATTATGTTTTGTTTCATTTTTAAAGGGTCTTATTAAGAAAACAATAGAAATAAAGGAGACAAAGAAAAGGAATAGACATGCTTTTATTAGGCTTTGATACCCAGTTTGCTACCAAGATCTTCTACAAGGTAGTATAAAAAGCAGGAGTTGGAAAGAAGGAAAAAAAGAAATGCGCTTCAAAAATTAAGCCAGATGACTGGACCAGGGCTCTTCAAACTTGGCCCTTTTATGACTTGTGGACTTCAACTCCCAGAATTCCTCAGCCAGGCATGTGTGCCTGGCTGAGGAATTCTGGGAGTTGAAGTCCACAAGTCATAAAAGGGCCAAGTTTGAAGACCCCTGGACTAGACATATAAAATGTAGCGTTTTGATCATCAGTTCTTCTAAAAAAAAAAAAAGTTGAACAGTTCAACAGCCCTGCCTGAGCTGGCTGACGTGATAGCCAGGGTGGCGGTGGGGACCCCCAGACTTATGGTCTTGGGGGATTTCAACCTGCCATCAGTGGGTGAGACGTCGGCGGCAGCCCAGGAGTTCTTGGCTTCCATGACGGCCTTGGACTTGACCCAGTTAATTCAGGCCCCCACCCACACGGGCGGACACACGCTGG